ATTATTATTATTATTATTATTTTATCTCATTGTTAAAATAATGAGTGCCAAGGTGAAATGCTTTTTTCTGGTATAGAATTGTGCAGAAGAAACTGCTGGCCAGAAGCCTGGCACATCAAACAGAAATGAGTAGTGGCCTCAATGGTCCATAAGGTTCATTGTTACATCTGTAAAGAGAAACAGAATCTATTTTTGGTGTTACATACCCATTATAATGATCCTGTTATAGAAGACAGATTTTAGCAGGATGTGTTGGGTCCTTGGCACTGGGAACTTCTGTGAAACTCATCAGTCTGTAGGACGAGTTGATTCCAGTAGTCTTGTCTGGTTTTAAAATGTACTAAAGCACGAATAATTAAGGATGACACTTGGTCTCATTGAAATGTTTTTGCTTTTTGTTTGGTTTTTTTTTCAGGAGTTTATTTTGAGAAGGTCTTAAAGAGTTCAGATACTTCCTTATGGGTGAGGAACATTCAGCTGTACTTATCTGGGATTGTAGTGACTTTAGTCGGTGTGTACATGTCAGACGGAGCCCAAGTTATGGAGAAAGGGTTTTTCTATGGCTATACATACTACGTCTGGTTTGTCATCTGTAAGTATCTTGTGGTTTTAGAATCTTGATACACTGTTTTTCTTTTTTAACACTGATATAACCGATTACAGGAAGCTACAAGTTCAGTCTGACACACTTTCTCCTGTGTTTTGAGGGATTTTATTTAAAAGTATAATTTTCTTGGAAATTATTCACTTAGCTTAAAATTGTGCTGAAACAGCAGTCTAAATAACTGATTAGCAGTAGATCATCTTTAAATGAGTCATGTCTGATTTACTGGATGCCCTGTAGACATCCCATTCCACTGCATTAAATCACCAGTTAGGAGAATGTAGCCCAAACAAAAAGAGCACACTGGTGGAGTAAAATGCATAATTTCAAGAGTGACCTACTGCACCTGTACTAATAGTAACACATTATCTGTTTCCCAGTTCTTGCCAGCGTAGGTGGCATCTACACTTCGGTCGTGGTTAAGTACACAGATAACATTATGAAAGGCTTTTCTGCAGCAGCAGCCATTGTTCTCTCTACTGTGGCATCAGTCATCCTCTTTGGCCTCCAAATAAGTAAGTGCTTTTTTGCCTTTAATTTGACAGCGTGTGCATGTTTCCTGCCTGCCCAACCCACTGTGCACAGTTCACACCAAAGCCAGTGTTTTTGCCTCCTCTCAGTTGTTCTGGTTTTAACTTCCAAGTCTTCTCCAGAACACCTCTACACTAATGCACCATCATCCCTGTTCTGTTGCACAAGATGCCTGATGATCCTATACTTCCAAAGGCATTCATGGTTTATTCTTTCAGAGGCAGCTACAATTTCAAACAGAAAGTTTCTTTCTAATTTAAAGAGCTTTATTGATGCATCACTTTGTGATGCAGTTTAATATGTGATGTAGCTGTTTACCTGGGACTGCTGTTGCTAAGTTATCATTTCTTGTTGGGTTTAGTACAGCCACTGCCAAATTAGTTCCTCAGCTCTTTCTTCAAGTGCTTTACACATCCCTGTTAAGTTACACCCACTACTGTGTTAGCTTTTACCTTCCCCATTTGCTGTGGACACCACCACATGAGAGCAAGTCGAGCAGCAGCTGGAGTCGTGACTGATGTGGTGAATTTTTTGTGAGAGGAAACAGCAGATTGCTCTGGGCTGTTCTGCAACTACAAAGGATTTTCTCCCTGACCAAGCCTCTGTCTGGTACTGTGCCCAGTATCTCCCACTCAGTCCTTCACTGTTTAGTTGTGGGTATTGCTTACTTTTCTACCTTAATGCAAAGATGGCGTGGCAACATGGTGGAAAAACTAGCTTTCTGATGTAGAATTAGTGAGACAAAACTTAAGGAAAGCTTGCATAAGGAGGAAACCATTAGTGTTTGGCTGAAAAAGAGCATCATAAAGCAAGGGATGGAAAAAAAACCCACCTGGTTTTAAAAGCTCACTTGGGCAGAGCATTTTCTTGATGGTTGACACAAATCAAACCTGTACTAGTGACCTTTCTGTGAAACTCTCATTAAAGTGTTTCTTAACCCCATCTAAATCACAGAATTACAGAATATGCTGAGTTGGAAGGGACCCACAAGGATCATCAAGTCCAATTCCTAGCCCTGCACAGGACCATCCCCAAGTGTCACACCATGTGCCTGAGAGCATTGTCCAAACGCCTCTTGAACTCTGTCAGGCTTGGTGACCACTGTGACCACTTCCCTGGGGAGATTGTTCCAGAACCCAACCACCCTCTGGGTGAAGAACCTCTTTCTAGTATCCAGCTTAAACCTCCTGTGACACAACTTCAGGCTATTCCCTTGGGTCCTATCAGTGGTCACCACAGAGAAGAGATCAGTGTCTACCCCTCTTCTTCCCCTCAGGAGAAAGTTGTAGACTGCAATGAGGTCTCCCCTCAATCTCCTCTTCTCCAGGCTTAAAAGACCCAGTGACCTCAGCCACTTTTCATACAGCTTCCCCTCAAGGCCCTTCACCATCTTAGTTACCCTCCTTTGGACACTCCCCAATAGCTGAATATCTTTCTTATATTGTGGTGCCCAAAACTGCACACAATATTCAAGGTGAGGCCTCACCAGTGCAGAGCAGAGCGGGACAGTCACCTTCCTTCACCAGCTGGTGATGCTTTGCCTGATGTGGAAAGGCAAATAAAATGTGTTATCACGGGCTACTTTATTACATCCACTGGTTTTTTATCACTAAGTTTATTGTAACATAAGCCTGTCCAGGTGGCACCTGGAACTGCAGGAGATGCTTCATTCTTGCTTTTATGACCATCACTATGTTCTTGCTGATATGAGACTAATTGGAATGGTGTGGGGATTGTAAACTCAAGAGTTCCCAGTGACAGAGGATAAAGCTAGATGCTGTGTATTAATAGCCTGTTGTTCTGTTTAGAATAACTTCAATACTGTCATTCAGATATTGTCATAACTTACATAGCTTGCTGAAGGTTTCTGCTTATATGAATGTGTTTATTTAAACTATTTTGTCTCCTTTCAGCTGTTACCTTCTCCCTGGGTGCTCTCCTGGTGTGTATTTCTATTTACCTCCATGGATTACCTCGACAAGACACCACAAAAATCCAGACCTCAGAGATTAAGAGCTCAAAAGAGAGACTTGCTACTGTGTGACATTGTCCATAAAAATGGACAGAAGAAAAAACAGACTTTAAAAAAAACTTGACTTTTTTTAAAAATTAGCCTTAAGCTAGTCATGAAATGGTTTAAGTGGGACAGACTAAAAGCAGAAGTTATATGTGGAGTTTCCAGTGCTTGATACTGAGGCTACGCTGCATCTGAGGAGCTGCCTGGGTTTTTATGGAAGGTATTCTTCATTCACATCGACAATGAAGAGTCTCATTTACAAGGAAAATTCAATGAAGGAGCTGATCACTCAATTGTATATAATGTTTATAATAGAGGCAAATTGGTTCTTTGTGCATTTGATAAACTGTCTTGCCCTTTGAGGGCAGAAATGCCTGAAAGCTTCATAAAAAAAACTATTAAAAAGAGCAATTACTGCCAGCATTTTCTCTTAAAATACTTGGCAACTGTAGTTTGATTAATGACAGGAAAAGTTTTTCTTCTAGGTGATAGGTACGAGACAACACAACTCTACTGGGAATAACCATGCTCTGAGCATCACTTACCTAGGAGTGATTAGAGGTAGCACGTGCTGTATAGTTTATAAAGTCAGAGTGAAAGACAAGTGTTTCTCTAAAGTTGTGGATTTCCTTTCACTTTTCAAATGTTTTTTATACCTGCTGTAGCTGGTAGAGGGATCTTCTATGTGTTGTACAGGGGAAAGTTTGCACGTATTCCTGTATTTTTGGCTTAAGTATGAATGAGTCAAAAGATTTTTGTCCGTACATTTTCTCTCTAAACATTTCTGTGCACACAGTGATGCTTGAAAAGAGTTCCTGTAATGCATGTTAGGCTTTGAGTTAATTTATTATTGCCAACCATATAATTTCAACTCCTCCCTCATCTTCTAAGGCCGTCCAGAAACTGCAGCTCTACAATGAGGGAAAAGTGACTTTGGTGCATTTGGGCAGCTTGTTGTCATTCATAGCGGAGTCAGAATGTGACCAAGTTTATACTCTTGGCTAGATTCCTTCAGACATGAGTTAACCAGCTGGGTTTTACTTGAAAGTGTGGCATGTTACACACAGCAGTAACAAACATGCTTCAATTCTGTTCCAGTGGGAGAGGATGCTCCCCTCTGCCTTTCGCCAGCTGGTCCATGTGTTAGAGCAGCCACCACCACAGTGCAACTCCTGGGAAGTCGAGGCTTCCGTGGGGGTGGGTATTGCCAGCCAGCTGCAGTGCCTCACAGGTGCTGCTCCCCCTCTCTCCAGCAGTGTGATGGCTCAGGGGTGCCAAGCCACACCTGACTGTGGGTAGGGTGCAGAGGGAACACTGTACTTCCTGCTCCACCAGCTGTGCAGCCATCTCTGCTCCCCGGCCATCACGTCAGTGTGACAGAGGAAGGGGTGAGGAACAGGGTGTGACAGCTGGCAGTTGGGCTTGGCTAAAGGGAGAATGCAGTACTTCACACAGGAAAAGAGCTCTGCACGACCTGACTAGCTCAGTTTGTTACAATATATGGAGCATCTGGAGCCCTTGTGCCATCAGGCCTTAGTACACAATGGCAACCGCAGGAGGGGAGAACTTTGCTTAGGGCAGCACAGTTAATACCACTTCCTCTACCAACAGGATGTTATATTTACATGGCAAATACAGAGCAGTTCTCTTTTATGGGGAATACCAGGTAGACCTGAGTCTTAAGTACACTGCTCCACCAAGTGCCTGGGAGAAAGTGACTGTGGCAGCCTTACCCCTCCCAGATGGCTGTGCTGTGCCTGCTCTTCTGCAGTTGGTATGAAGGAGCACAAACCTCTAAGCACAGATGGTGCTTCCAGCCTGCATTAGCAGTGACACGCAGTATTCATATTATCTGGGGGGAAAAAATTTTACTACGAGATGTGACTTTACATTGCACACAGCCTCATTACATTTGAGTCACAGGTGTGATGCCAAGAAGTTTCATTCCGTTGGCTAGAACCGAGCGTGCAGCTTGAAAGAGACAGAGCCTTGCCTGGAAAACAAAACAAGAGTCATCTTAGGGTAGTGCTACAGAATAGGGTGTGGTTCTCAGAACAGCGTGCATCCTCTGTCCCCACACTGGGATTCAGACCTACATATAACCCCTGTACTGAGAAACACACCAATGCTGGCAGCATTTACACCAGCTGTTGTTAGCCCATTGCAGTGTCAACAAGAGGGACAGTTGGTCAAACAAAGGAAGCTGGAAAGGCATGTTTAGCCAAGCCCTCTGGGCAGAACAAGCAGAGATGTCTGTGGAAGAGCTAGCAATGACTAAAAAATGAAAATCTTTCATGCACCAGGGGCTGGTACAGCCCTGAGGGTACTGTTGGAATTCCCTCCTCTTGCCCTGCCTGTGTTAGAGGTTGTCAAGCAACTATGGGCTGCTTTGAAAATTTCACTCTTCTTTGTCAATGTCTTGGCTGCTACACAGCTGGCTGTTTGCTCCAAAAAACATAGTTCTTGAAAGCTGTCACATTGTAAGATATTTAGAAAATATTTTTTTTACAAGATAAGGAACTTAGGTTTTCCTTGTATCTTGGACTGTCTTAGTCCATCTCCAAAGCAGGAATACCTACAGCATCTAAGCTCAAATACAGACTGCAGCTCCATGAATTCCACTGAATGTTTTTCCCCCACAGCATAGCTCAACACTTAAGTGTGATTTACTACCAAAATCAAATAAGTAGTTGCTTTTGAAATAGATGAAAGAAAGTAAGAAAGGCAGTGTAATTAGTATTTAGGGGGTCAAACATTGGGAGATCAGTAGAAAATAATCTGCATTTATTTGGGACTGCAGATTAAAAGTTGTCAGCCCCTAGCTTTAGCTAGAAAGGCAATATGGACAACTTGGGATATGGAGGTGGCAAGAGGGAGGAGACGGATTTAGTTCTCTCCTAATTCTCTGTCTTCCCACATAACCACTAAAGGAAACCATCAAAAATTAACCAGCAAGTTTAATGCTCAAATGTTTACTCTTAAAACATTCAAAAGGAAAGGTGACGAGAAGGGGTTTGACTGGATTTGGAGCAGTTGTTGTTAGGGAGCATTGTGTTTTAGGAGGATTAAGCAGAGCAGCCCTTTCCAGAAGCCCTTTCCAGCTGTGAAGAGCAATCCCTGCCTTCCCAAAGCAGTGCCACCCACGGGAAAGCCTCCCTGTCAGCTCCTCCGCCTGCGGATGTGTATTTACACAGCTGGATTGGCAAAGCCAGAATCCTTCCTCTGGGACACCCTACACAGACTCTAGCCACCTAAGATGCTGTACCATACCTGTGCTACTTCAGGGGTGCTGCCTCTCACAGGAAGGGTTTTGTGTGCCACGGCTGCAAGATGGCTGGAATGGAAAACAGAGACAATGGTGAGAGCCAGCAAGTCGCTCTGGGCTACAGAAAGCAGCAGAACTGGAAGGGCCACCCACAACTGCAGCATGCCAGAGGCTGATTTACAACAGCCTCTCACCTGGCTCAAGGAAGACATGATTTTCTATAGCCTGCATGGTGTCAGGGCATGCCATTAACAACTTATTGCTCCTGAAATAACCCCAAAACAATCTCTCTGCTACCTGCCCATTAAAAAACCAAAACCATCCTCAAAACTGGTCTGGGAAATCCTTGAGATTCTACCCAGGCATTCCCAAGGTGTGTGATTCCTTATACAATTTTTCTTAATTTGTTAAAGCCTTCCCCATACACAGGCTCTACATCTTCCTCCACCAAGCCTATTGCATTTCACGGTGCTGTCAAATCAGACAGGTCCCTATGGGAGTCACATACACAGTATGACTTACAGAAATAAGCTTTGTTCATTGGCTGAGGCAGTGGTTAAAAATGGTTTGGACAAAGTTTCCTAGCTGAAATTTTGATATTTGAGAGGATGTTATCAGCTTAAATCTCCTTAAGATTTCATTAGTTCAGCATGATTTTGGTTCTGACACTGGGTTACAGCCAAGTGACTCTTTTTTCCTAAAAGCAGTTAGTTTCTGAGAAGGCTTCTGGCTCCAGCCTTGATCTCTACTATTTATTATATTATTTGCTATCCTACTTTACTTTATACATTTCCTGCTTCAGGGAGACTGTCCCACAAATTTGCATCTTCCCACTATTTTTACTCTTCAAAGCAGTGCAGATGTGAGGGCTGCAGATCCAGCTCAGGAAGACCTGTCCTTACTGGAGACGCCACCAGTATCAGCCATCGCCTTACCTAAGTGTGAGGAGGTAGCTGACAATGTGCTTGGGTTGCAGATCCTGAGAAGATCTATACAGGACCTCATCGTACCTGTGAAGCAAGAAAAGAATTGTTTGGTGCTGCAGTAGTAGAGGGTGTGCTCAGATATAAGGCTCATCAGACTTGCTTAAGTCAGAGCAAGCACACAACCACAGCTGTAGAATTAGCAAAACTGATCTTCTGAGCCAGACCTAAGCCATGTCTTTAGCACACAGCTCATTATTCCTTCCTCGTTCACTTATTATTGAAGGAGATTGCTTCTGCTCCTCATTTTGCAAACACCGTAGATGGCAGAGCTCAGAGAGGCAGGCTACCCAAGAGAACACAGGAGCTATATTTGCTCCTGGAACATTATGTCTGTTTTTACATCTTAACACTAATTGTAAGTTCCTAGGAGCAAAAAATGTGTTAAATAACCAAAAGAGTCAAAATAGCCTCTTAGAGGGCCTTGCCTTTAGTAAATGCAGCTTAGACTTTTAAGTAGCTAAAGGGAATCTTGTAACATTAAAAGAAGACAAAAACAATGTGATTTTACATAATCCTGGAATACAGATTCCCACAGAATCACAGAATGGGTCAGGTTGGAAGGGACCACAGTGGGTCATCTGGTCCAACCTCCCTGCTCAAGCACCATCATCCTACATAACTTACACATAACTGACTTTGTAAGACAGTATTAAACTGGGCAGTACAGGCAAAGTCATGAAATGTATGTTTTTATTTCATGTGTTCTGCTTTCCTTTTTCACAGAAGGTACCAACACCTCTGGGGCTGAAGAGATTTCAAAGTGGGCAGTGGACTTCCTAATCTTTGCTCAGCTCCCAGGCCCATCCCTGCCAGCGTGTCCAAGCTGAACTGCCCTGGGATCTTCCTCCTTTAAAGACAAGCTGCAGAACTGGGAAGTGCACTCCAGTAACAAGGGCTCAGCAGTCACGCAAGAGCTACAGCACCAAGGAGGGAGCACTCCTCATCCCGTGGGTGGGTAAGCCACAAAAACACCTCTTACACGTGCACTCAGCAGCTGATCTTAGCCAGCATGCCCGAGGTGGCCACTGCTGGGGAAGGTCGCTGCCCTCACACACTGTGCCACTGACGTGAGCGAGGCAGAACCAGGGGAACCTCCACACAGTCTCAGGGCCAGCACAGACACCAGCAGCTGTTGGTCCCTCAGAGGCAGCAACGTGGGTACAAAGAAATTAGTGCTAACAAGCACCATCAAACAGCCATTGATAAAAGCTTCAAACAAAGTTGGTACCAAATAAAGGACCCTGATTTGATACCAGCTTTTTTTGCTTCGGGAAGCTGCCATTTCAGTATTGGCCTACAACAACTTGCTAAGATTATTTTATCAGTCAAGTAAGTCTGCTTTTGCAGGGTTATACATAGAATCATAGAATGGCTTGGTGGAGATCTTAAAGATTCTCTAGTTCCAATCCCCCTGCCAGGTCTGGTTTTGGCAGGTTACTCAGAGCCTGGACTAGTGGAAGGTTCCATCTTCTATCTGCTACCTCCGGTCTACTATTCATTAGACTGCAAAGTTAATGGTATTCAGAATTGGGCAGCTATTTTCAGGCATATGTTTGGTATATTTTCAAACAGCAGAAGCAGAGCCTTCTGACAGGCTTTTGACAACTCAGAAGGGTTTATTATGGAAACTTTTCAAGAAGCATTGAGTCATGGCAACTCAGAAGGAGGACTGAACAGTAATTGTTACTCCTGAAACTGTGGAATATTTTAAGATAAGTTTGTTAGCCCTTGTGTGCCTGGTCTAATAGATAACCTAAAAACTGCTTTCTGCTGGAAGTAAAGGCCCCTGGAGATGCTTCACAGAGATTCCATATGGTACTGGGCCAGGCTCAAAGACCTTCGCAATTAGCAGACCTGAAGTTCAATAAAATCAAGAGCCCTGCAGTGGATCAACAACTTCTGTCTGAAAATTGACACAAGTCTGCAATGCAGTGATCTCTGCACATAACCCTGTCCGTTTTCACACACAAGACAGGCAGCTATAAACTAATCTGATAAACCCCAAGAAATGACCCTCATGTTTTCCATGAAATACAATGGCACTGGAAAAATAACACACTACTGGTCTTATTTAGAGTGCTGGCTGGTCCTGTTGCTCAAGAGAACATGCAGCATATGATGAATTTCAGGCAGACGTCTTGAGGCAATTACAGTTAATGATAGGACTCTACAGGCTACAGGCTGAAAGGAACCACCTGGGACACTGGCATGACTTTTGAAAGTCCAGATTTTAAACAGATGCCCTCAAGAAGGTCTTAGTATGGTCAAAAGAGTTAACTCTCTAGCACTGCACAGTGTGCACTGCAGCATATAGGACCTCTCACTAGGAATTCTGAAAGCTTCACGTACTTCTGACTCCATCACACACTGTGCAACACGGACAACTCCCTTGTTTCTGTATTTTAACTGAACATCTATGAAATAATGAAAACAGAAACAGCTCAACTTTAAGACTGAATTAATGAAGAACATTACTGCTATTAACAGGTATTAGCTGTGCACATTCAGTAGCTCTGAAGGATGCTGAGCTACTGGATGTGCATGCACACACTCCGTTTCACCTCACCCAGGAGTACTTCCTCTCTCTTTTCCCATATGACAAAAACAGAATACAAGGGACCAACTAAATCTGCAGTTAATATTTATATAGAGCCTAGCATACTTTTGTGAAGACAAGAAAGAATTAAGAGGATCATGTACACAGAGTATGTTCCAAATACAGCTTTTTCTGTCATATAGCTTCTTAAAGCCACAAAAATTTCCAAGTGAGGGCTACTGTTGCAGTCAGTGGGGCACAAAAGAAAAGTCATTGCCTGAAATAGCCATTTTTTCTCATGATCACACAGTCTGTGCCTTCTCAAAAGCTTGGCATCATATCCAGAAGTTTATTTTAAGAGAATTGCTATTTGGAAAGAAAACTAGACAAACCTGAGAAGATGTTGAAGAACAGAGATGGCGTCTGGCTCTTGCAAGCATGCCACGTTAACATCAGTTAGCTGTGCGTTCCCATGCGTCCGTTCTAAACTACGGTGTAAGAATGGAAAACAAATGTTGGGATGAAAACCTCCTGTTAGCAAAGCTGAACAAGAAAAACAGTAATTTGTCTTTTTAAGAAAAAGGGTAGGCTCCTTCTGCTCAAGATGAATGGAACACTGAGACAGACTAGCTGACTTCAACTCAAGACAAAGAAATATAAAAATTGTGCTAGCCATTCGGTATCAACAGGATTAGACATATCCATGGACAACAGGTCCAGAAGCTGATGCTAAAAGGACTAGAGAGGTACTCAGTACCCCACTAATGCTACCTTGGCACCACCAATACCTAGATGATGAGGGAAGACAAGGGGAACAGAATACAGAAAGGGATCAGGCTTGCACATTCTCCCTGAGCACCACCTTCTGCTAGCATTGCCTCAGACAGAACACCAGGGTGGTAGAGACCTTTGGCCTGATCCAGGAAGGGACCTTACATGAAAATACATACTGATTTCTGCATTAAGAATGTTCTGACAGTTCATTATAATTAATAAAAGCGCTCAAACTTGCCTCTTCTGAATCTCTTTCAAAGAAGTGATTAAATGTGTTAGGTGTTCGACCAGAGTCAACAGGAAGGGATCTGCTTTTAACCCTGGTTACCAACAGAGGGAAATAACAGAATGTCAAAAAACCCCCACTAGCTACTGCGGTAGCCAAAAGTTCTGTGATGTGGTGTATTTTACAAGTATGTGCGTTTTGGTTTTTATGTCAGTTTCCCCAATCCTAAGGGCTACCATTCCTCATCACTGACACCAACTACAGAGAGGCTGTTCCTAGAACTGGGAAAGTACATGGACAGGCAGCTCAGTTCTGTGGAAATGAGGCAGAAAATTCATTTTAATTGGCTTGCTCTTCTGGGAAGTTTCAATGATTCCTATCATACACTCACACCTCTGCTGAAAAAGTGAACATGTGTCATATTTTAGGAAGGAGCTGACACTACTACTTAACAAAGCAGTAAGTTAATAAGGTTAAAATTCATGTAAAACTCTACTTTTGTGCATAAACACTGACTTACCTATGGAGTCTGGCATGGGTATACTGCAAGAACACACCTGTGTCTCCACGACTTTGAAGAGCTCGATCCCAGCTAAACTGATAATCAGACGAGAGAAGGCCCCGGAAGTCCTGGAGAAATAAATCATTGTCACCTAGATAAGGCTCTTCATCTCAGTTTTTAACTTTGCACAGAAGATGCAAACAAGTCATGAGGCAGCTCAGACTCACCTGAATTATTAGTGCTGCAAGACCAACCTTCTCTGCTGTCTCCATAGGGTCTTGTATCTCTTTGGTTGCTGAAGAGAAACAGAAAGAAACAATAGTTAAGTCTGCAGTACCATAATGACTCCCTTGCTCAGACTTGGAGATGCCAATAAAATAGCAAAACCCTAAACTAGCAATATGAAATTGTCAGGATGCATGCAGCAACAAGTCCAGAATATAAACCTTTCTTAAAAGCTGAAATACAGCTGTTTCAGATGGGCTTTTTCCCACTTCCCCTAATATGTGTAACACAGATATTTAGGTCAGAAAGGTTCATTACAACAGGATAGCAAGACTACCCTGAATTCCTCTTCACAGTTCTGACAGCCAGTCTCTAAGTTCAGGAAGAGAATGAGAGGGCAATTCAGATTTTGTTGGAAAACTGATAAACTACAAGTGATAGAGGTGCATAAACAATCAAAAAAAAGTTGTTCCAATGGTTAATGGAGCATTTGGATACATTCAGGGAGTTGTCACACCATCCACTAAAGGAGATACCTAAATTGACCATACTCAGAGAATCTGAACTGAGTGAATTACAGAATGGCTGGGATTGGAAGGGTCATTTAAAGATCATTCCAGTCCAACCCTGGACTGTGAGGTACTCAATACCCCACTAACAGTACCCTGGCACCACCAATACCTAGAGGATAAGGGAATATAAGCGGAACAGACCACATAAAGGGATCAGGCTTGCACACTCTCCATTCACTCCAGCATTAAAATGTTTCCTTTGCACTCAGCTATGACACCAATATTTAAACTGAAGTCTAAGCTCCAATCCTCTCTGCAGTAAAACTGGTTTGAATCGAGGGGCACCCTTCTATCATTTTGCCTGACTCCCTTCTCCTGGTCCACTCTACAAGCAAAATTACCTGGATTAAAAAAGCTGAGGAGGCAGAGCAAGGAAGACGCGCACTATTTAACCTGACTAGATGGTTGATTCAATCCAGCACCTAACTCCAGAAAGCACAAGAGGGGGCAGCATTTCACTGAGAACTGCTTAAATCTTTACTGCATCGAGAGGAAAAGGTCGCAGAGCCACAGCCCGAGTGAGGTGAAGGCAAATATCCCCTTCAGCACATTCTGCTGCAGAGCAGTGACCTCCTGAGCACCCTGTGAACAGCCACAAGGCTGGGAGGATGACGAGGCAGTGGTGGAAGGCAAGCTACAGTTACTCTTGCCAGAGAAAACTGTCAAAAATCCTTTGGATGAAATATGACTGTTGCCTGAACTCCAGCCCCAACCCTTCTATGGACTAGCTTGTCCCTCCAGAAAAAAGCAACTATTGTCTCCAAAGACAGGTACTTTCTTCCCACTGTAAAGCATGATGAAATAATATCACTGAATGTTAGAATTTGCAAATCTGTAATTTAGGGAAGTTCACAGAGTTGCAAAGAATTATTTTAACATTATTTATATTATAAGAGGTAAGAAATGCACATATCAGGGTCTATCACGGTGATTAGTCTGATTCAGGGAAAAGTGAAGGGTGGAAAAGATGACACATTTTTGATCAACATAGAACATCAAAAGAAACTAATAAGACCTGAAATAGCTAACTTTTTGCGGAAGTCATGTTTTGTAACATCCTCGAGCGAACTTCATTTAAAACATCTTCCAGGAAAATTACTTCTCCTCTTCGAGTCTTCATCCCTTGAACTAGACCAAAAGACACATGCTGGCACCTGCGTCGAAAAGCAGCAGGACCTAAAATTACATTTCAATCAAGAGAAATGTTTGCAGTGTTTGTTCAGAGCTGGATTCTCTACCAGGAAACAGCAATAACAGCTGAATAAATAACACTCCAACGCAGAAAGCTTGGTGATATAATCAGTAACTCTCATTTCAGCAACCAAAGCTCCATATTTATTATATAATGGGAAAATTATGATCAGAATTATGATAACCTGGTCATTTGCGTGCTCTCAGGAACCTCTCTTGCTACTACCTTTAGCACAGAGGCCTCAATGCAATAATTTGCAATAAATTGAAGAGAGGCAGGATGTAGACAGATCAAATTACTGTGCCAACACAGATCTGTTAATATAATTAGAAAGGGAGTCATAATAATTCTATTGTGGGCACATTAAACTAAAAGTATAATTAATCATTGCTAATAATAAAATATTCGTTGCTTTTGCTTATAATAATCCCAAGCATTATTCTGGATCCAGAATCTAAGACAACTTTAAGCACTGTGAAAGGAGGCAGTCTAGTTTTCCAGAAGGCTAAAATGCTATATTTAACCACAAAAGACATGCAGTCTGGCAGAGGAATATGATTTAGTTTGCAGATCCATTACTGACCTTTGCTCAGACTGCTAACAGGATTGGTAACTACAATGAATAACAGCAGGGATACACTTCCTTGCAACAGATACTTCAAGCCTGAAGCATGATTCAAACTCAGATTCAGATCACTGCTAAAATATAATACTTCAAGAATAATAATTTAATATGTTAGCACACAGTATCCCAGAAGCTATGCCACAGTGTCTTAAAGATTGTTTCTCTTTTTCACATCAAGCAGTTATGAAGTTAAATGAGAGACAGGGCTGTTTTTCACATCCTGGACACATGGCAATGACTCCATTCACAAGTTAATCAGGGCAGCAGGAGTGGGCATATAGAATGAAAAAAGGTTGGTGCTGAAGACCTGAGGCCCACACTGCACACTATTCTAAGGGTTTCTTTTGTTATTTTTTTTCCTCCTTATTGGACTAGTATTAGTTGGGTCCTACAGGCCAAATGACTGCTGCCACTCTGGAGTTCATTAGTTGCACACCAGCATCACATCCTGTAGCTTAGCTTCAACCAAAAGGCCTACGTGATGTGTGCTATAGTATGGTGGTAGGTGGACACAATCAGGAGATTCTCCTCAAAATTACAGTCTACTAAAATTCCAATGTACAAATTATTCATTTAAAAAAAAAATCAACTCAATAAGATATATAATATAATTAAGATTCATAAATACATACCTTTCTACCCAGTCATAACCCATGAGCTTCAGTATTTGGAATAACTGTTGAAAATGATGACTTTGACTTTTATCTGTCTAAGGAATAGAATTCATGCATATCAGAAAACACTCCAAGTCTGATAGGGATAAGCTTTTCACACACAAACACAGACCACCACAGATACTGTGCCAGTAAGTCACTGCAAGCAGAATTAAAATCTATGAAGAGAAACAAGACTTGAAAATTGTGGCAGCTGGAATCTATGTCAATGGGATTTTGCATCATATTAGAAAAAAGTAATCTACCTTTTCAGACATTATTCAAGTCACGAAGCAAAAAGACATGAAGGGAAAGGAAACCTTGATGTTCTTTAGTTTCCCATAATTTGTGAGCTGCCCACAAAAAACCCCCTCCATTTCCCCTTCAGAACCTTGCTGCTCGTTATATACCCATGTTTTGTGTCACCAAACGCTAGGGTTCCTTTGGCTTAGAAACAGAACACCTCTTTAAGCTGTCTGTCTCCAGAACCCAATAGTTTCTATTGTCTCTAGTGTGATTTGTAGTTTTACATTATAAGGCAGCTACAGAATTTTAAAAAAAGGAGTATGAATTATCACAATTTCATAACAATTATGCATTTTGTGCTCTCTTACTTCCAGTTACTCTCTCCTATTAACTGAAGTAGTTTCTGATGGTGGTTTATGCCTAACAACGATCTTCATATGTGTTTCTAGCTACAGCTGTTGCTGCAAAGTTCACTTTCCTACCTAGTTGTTTTGACTACACCATTCAGACTCCCTTTTATCCCTCCTTAAAAAATCCTGCAGAGATAACCAAATAATCACTACTTCCTCATTTGTTTTGTGTTCCAAGACAATGAGTGAGCAGTGAGTGAAGTGCTTATCTGTGTTCCTTCTCAATTCTACCTCTGTATCAAGCACCTGCCTCCTCTTTCAGAGTTCCTCATAAGCTGCTCCACTTCTATCACCTCTCCATGTTGACTCACAAGCAAGGCTAATAAATGGATAGCAGTGGCCAGCATTTCAAACTAGGCCTTCCAAGGTCTTTTCCATTCATCTTACATCTGAGGTTTATCTCTGTACCTGTAACAAAGCCAGATCTCTCTCACTAAGTGATTAGCTTTAAGGGAGAAGTGTGGAGTCTGGCAGCATGGATTATATTCAATTCTTCATAAATAAAAGCAGTTTCATCTCATGCTTTGAGTGCAACATTCAATGGTATCTTAGTACCTCTTTAATAATATGTCACACATTTTAAAATGTTTTGAATATTTTTCTCATATCACTGCCTTTTTATGAAAAAAGTAGGATTTAAAAAAATCTAAATTGGTGAATGCACTGATTTACAGCATTACAACTAGTAAACCAATTTAATGTTTTCTTTAACAAGTTGATCTGAGGAAGACAAGATGATCTTATTAAAATAAGACTCAAGAGTCTCTAAATAATTTTCCTGTAACAAGATTAGGATTCTGCTATACAGAATATATTAAATACAAATACCTTTGTATTTAATAATTGAAGACTAAAATCATCAGTGTTCTCATTTAAACCCATGAAGTCCTCTTGCCTCTGGTCGCGCTGAGTTAAGACTTAACTCATTACACAGTACTGGCACAAAACAGCAGCAAAGCTCAGTGAGGCTGGCAGGTCCCTCATTAGTCTGTCTGTTCCATAAAGTCTCCTAACAGCCTACGTTATCACCCTCTCATGTTATAACCCACTTTCCCAGTCCTCAGAAAGCCAGAAGTGATAAAAAACCCCTCAAGTCAGACATTCAATTGACACATCAATCACATCACAGTTTGGTTTTGCTGCACATCTGTTTGGACTCAGAGTAGGACAAAAAGGGCCAGCCAAGGAAGTAAATAGTTACTGGAGTTCAGCTGTGAGCAGCCAGTCAGCTCAAGACTTGCTTTCACACTCACTCCCTCCATGACCATAATGTTCAGGCAATATCCTAATCTGTGCAAAGCAGAGACCCAACTATTCCTTCTTTCTAATTGTACCTTCTTCCTTGGTCCCCACCACCTCACAGTATAACAAATACAAATAATTACCTATCCCCATGAACTAGACAGGAAACATCCCTAACTCCTAAAGCATTGCATTTTTCACAGCCACACTGTCCTTCGATGTCAATGAACCCAGTGTGTTCCAGCCAGCAGAGGCAGAAAAACTCCCACCAAATCCAAAGAATTTCCCAAAAAAATTTCCCTGTTCTATAACAAAATGTAGGAATGGCAGGCTATAAAAAACTTCCTGAAGACTGAAATAAAAGGAGGAATGTCATTTAACTAGAAATTGCACTTTCAACTACCTATGTATTTAATGTTGTGGTTACTGATCTCTCCCTCTCTCCTGAATCTTATCACATTATACTGACTTCAGAAAAAGTTGTACCAGAGAAAGTATATGGGCATTACTAAACACATCACAGAAACGTGCAGAGTTTTTCCACATTATTGACTTCATATAAAAGAACACGGTTTACAAAATTATTTTTTTCTAAAGTCGGGAAAAAGAAGATCTAAAAGCATCATGAGATATCTCCTTGGTAATACTAGAGCAAAAGAGAGTTTCACATAAGTGAGGAGGTAATCCAATTATTGATACTACTGGAACTATTAAAAATCAAAATAATCAAACCAAGAAATATAAAAACATTCCCTGACTATAACTGCTTCATCCAGATTGATTAAGGAGAAAATACAATGTCAAATGAAATAAAAGTTCCTTTGAAACTAATTGCAATGAATTTTTATAATAGAGAATAACTCCAGAGTTGATTTTCATAGGATCATAGAAAGGCTTGGGTTGGTAAGGACCTTAAAGATCACCTAATTCCAACCCTCCTGCCATAGGCAGGGACATTTTCCACTACACCACATTGCTCAGAGACCCATCCAACCTGGTCTTGAACACTTCCAAGGATGGGCCATCCACAGCATCTCTGGGCAAACTGTTCCAGTGCTTTGTCACTGTCACAGTAAAGAATTTATTACTAATATCGAATCTAAACCTACCCTCTTTTAGTTTAAAGTTATTTTTCAACCATTCTGTGGGTCATGAACTGAAACAGAACCAAGAAACACTGCCATACTGAGGCACAGCTGCTGGGTAGTAAGGGCATCTATTTTACTGCCAAAAATACCATGTGTCTAAGTCAGATTGTGAGCAAGAGGCCCCCCTGGATTACTGGAAAGAGTCAGGCTCAAAAGTGTTTGCTGAATCTAGAATTACTTACCACATAAATCATAGTATCACAGCTGTGCTTGTTCATTCGGTCTATAGCAGCCGCAAGATCTCTGGAAGAGATAACAAGAAACTATTTGGAATTTCACTCAAACATACGTCATTATTTGCCTCTCGGAAAAATAATCTACTTTTTATGAAGGGGAGAGGACTGCCCAGTTAGAAGGATCTATGTATGCCTTACATAAAGAAAAGAGATGCATAATTAGCTGATGACATGTTTGAAATGTTTTTTTTTAAACCACTAACTATGAAAATTACCGAGGAAACAGTTCTTACGTGCAGAGTAGGTCTGCTCTCTGTCTGCCTACTGGGACACGAGAGAAACAACCCTCTCTCGGAAAACTAACCCAGTGCTTAGCATTAGGTTACGTGGTACAAAGCTCATCTTCACATACACACACAGCAGTACAGAGAAACAACTTGCTCGAGCCCCTCCCAGGGGCTGTCACAGGAGAGCCATAGGCCCCACGTTCCAGTCTGAAAGCCTCCTCAGGGGACACCACAGCAGCTCTCCAGACCACCTGACTGAGGGAGGGTACTGCTTAAGGACGTGGGACACATGGGATGAAGGGGAAAAGTGTTTTGCAATTGCCCAAGACTTAGCATAGGACGCTCAGGGGAGGAACCAAGGATAGGAAAAGAAAGGGAGAAGATGATAACAGGGACAGGTGGCTTGTAAGCCAATTGCTGGGTAGTATGTTTGCTCAGTTGTGCCCTGAACTTCATCAGCACGATCTCTCCTGTTTTCTCATAAAACTCTATTTCAAACTCTCCCTAGGTGAGGGGGCTCTCTCTTCTGTATGCACGTGAATTTGGAGGTCTAAGTATCATTATCTGCAGTTGGGGCATACAGCTCATATGGGCCGTGCATCTGTGGTGCCAGCAACTGAAGGGAACTGGGCATAAGCGAAATTAAGTGATAGCAACTGGAGTCTGACCATGGGTCACAGGGGCCAAGGTGTCTCTGCTGCCAACATCTGGAGTGAGGGCACACACATCAACATGTGGCTGAGCAAATATCAAGCTGAATAGACAACAAGTAGGAGAAGTAAGCTGGGAAGTATCCAGGTAAATGTGTGCCTTCAAAGAGGAGGCACCCAGAGGAGTCTGTACCGTTGGCATCAGGGGGTCCAGGCCAGCAGCTGGAGAGACCATGGGGCCAGGGGGCTGACTGAGAGATCTGTCTGGGTACATGTGTCTCTATGGAGAAGGCAATGGAGCAGAGCAAGGATCCTGAGCCAATAGTTACATGTCTAAGCTCAGTTACTGGAGAGATCCAGTGTGTCTGTGCCAGTAACCAGAGCGGGGCTATGGGCCGTGGGGACATGCATGTCCAGGTGCCAACAGCTGGGGAGACCTGGGGATCCAGGGACAGCTAATGGGCAGAATCTCAGCTACTATAGGGATACATATGGTACATACGTACTCTGTACCTACAATACATACGTATATTACTTGGGTTACTAAATAATACATATCACATAAATAAGTGTGTATATCTACACACACACACATATATATCTATTTCTTCACAGTAACAGACCTTCATCCTGATCAGCCAGAGGGGAACAAAACACCAAATGTGCTGTCTGAGGGCTGAGTGGTTTTGGCTGGGGCGTGTGTGCATGTGTGTTTATGTGTGTGTGTATCTGTGCTTAGTTCAAACAGGTGATCAGCCTTACTACTGCTTGACCTCTGGGCACGGAGCTGTGGCATCATTGTCTCTGTTTGGTTACAGGATTCAGCAACTCCTTAATGAGCAGGATTGACTGCAACATCTCTCTAATACCCTCACCCTGAAAAGCTGTACACAGTTTACCCTGAGAGCTGGACCTCTGATTTGTTTGCATTACTGGCACAAAGAAACTGTTAAGGCTTCTATACTAAAATACCCAAGAGGAATTTTAGGATACTGATGATGTGGCAGGAAAACAGCAATAAAATTGATGTTACAGTGCTGGTGGTCCACTGAGTAAATGCAGACATGGCTGAGACATCATTTTTTTCTGCATCACATTGTCAATAAACATTTTAAGCAAAGGTCTTTCTAAAACCTTTGGCAACTATTTACCAGATCAAGAGATCCCAGTTTTGTTTTCAAAGTTAGTAGCTGAAGAAAGTATTATGATTTATGCAAAGAAGAGATCTACTTACAGACTGCTTAAGGGGAGGAAGAGTATTTAAAAGCCATTGTTTTTCCTGATCCATTTTTATCCTGACATAGTTACATTGATAGTTCCAGTTACGATTACTCAAAAATAAGGGTGTTCCATCCCAGCAATAAAAAGCTTCAAAATCTGTACTATCAGTTACAAACGTACTCATGTACAAAAGTTTACTGGCAAAATAAATGGCAATGAACACCGATGAGCTTACTTGCCTTGTTATATAAAGAGATGTCCCATCACTACGCATGACGGTGCAAACTGATGAGAGGTCTTTCTTTTCCGAAAGATCCACGATTCCTGTCCCTTTTCTGTAAGTTGAGATAAAATACTGATGTAACTGCAAGCTAATATACAGGTAAATTCAGATAAGACTGAGGTCAGAACCAAAATGGCCTCCTGCCTCAAACCCCCTCACTGTAGACAACTTTATTCTTTTTCTTTGAATGATTGTCTCCTTTAAGTATTTTTGAAGACTGTTCCTGTAAGTTTGTTGTCACCACTGCTTATGCCAGGGAGCCTGCCCATGTTCTGGTGCATTCCATGATTACGGCTTCCATCTCAGTTCAGCCAGGCACCTGCTTCATCAAAACAAGGATCTCATCTAACTCTGCTCATTAAATGGCACATGCAGCTGCCAAATTAATTAACAGCCTAAAAGGCCATTATGAGTTGAACAGTCATTGTACTTAATTTGTCATGGCCAAGTTTCTGTACTAGCCACAGAAAGGCAAACTTAATTTTTAACTGTGAGTGTACAAATCCACCTGGTCTTTTACTAGGACAGCTACCAAGACCATTTAAAGAAAACTCTTCGCCTTAGATTATGTACAAACCTCACTCATCATATCTTGTTTGAAATGCAACTGAGATGTTAAGTAAATTACACTGATTGAATAATGAGTCCATACGTTGTTTTTTGAAGAAGTCCCTTATCTTCCAACATCTTTAGAACCTCCTGGGCCTTCTCTCGGTAATGTGACTCTCCAGAATATTCATCAAAGTGCACTCCTAGACGCTGAAAAGTTCCAAGAATATCAAAGAAGGGTAAAATTGATAAGATTGAGGTTAATAATTTCTTCAAATTAAGTAAGACAATAGGTCTGTGTCGCACATCAGATAGAGTGCAAAGATTAATTTTATTCCAGGAAAGATCACTTCATTGTTAAGAGGAAAGGATATTTGGATTTTGATTTAATTGATTTCTGCATTAGAATTAATCTCCCTAAATTGAATACAGCCTGGGTATAATGTTCATGAGAAATCAGGCATAAACTGCTTAAAGCAATCAGTACAAAAATTCTGAGGCAGGTCTTTAACTTGGTGTGCTGGAGGTGAAAGCCATGGACTGCAGAGATTGTACTTGGACATGAAACCAACTCTATTTGAAAGGAAACTGAAAGAAATTTAAAAAGGCAGAAGCTGCTCACAAACATTGCTGAGCATACAGAAGTCATCATTACTATGAAGCCTTAAGGCACACTCAGGAAAGACAGGATGACCTTAACTGCCAAAACTGGTCAGTCCATCAGCTGAATATTTATTAGTTTGAATGAAATTGGGAGACAAAGATCTAGCTGTACCAGTCATTATGTGATCAGTGAGGAGTGACCATCACAATTCAGCTGCATACACAGCCCAATACCTGTTTACCCTTACAGGTGAGCTTTCCACTAGAATTATCAAGTGTCTCGCTTAGGAGATCTTAACTTAGAATACTTGGCTTGACTCCACAGATATGTTTCAGGGAAGAATTTAAAGCACAGCCAGGTTATCTGGACAACTGAGGAAAGGGCAGGCAACTTTTGTTTTTAACTTTGCAATCCAGGATGAAACAAAACGTGACCAATTTCTACAAATACAGCAAGAGGAATGAGATAGAAAAGTGAAATTTTAAATAAATAATAATACTAGAAGAAGAAAGAGATAGAAAACAAGTCACAAACTCTCTGGAGCTGCAAGTTAAAAAAAAATGTCTAAGCCCATCAAAACTGGTCACCCATTCCAGAATTTCATCACAAGTGGGAAAAACACCAGCCGATCTTCAGATGGACTCCGCTGGCTCTTGAGCAGTATCAGTACCAAGAGACTGGATTCAGTGTTACCTGGACATCATTAAATAAAAAGTATCTAGGATGTCAGCAACTAAAGTGATGGTCTGCTTGGATGTAGATCAGCTACTGTGTTTTTTCCAAACAGAATGGGGTGTAACCCGGCTTATCGAGAAAAAGCTTCCCCACAACACACTTAAGGTCATGGGAAAGGCAGTGAATCGACAGTATTAGAGCAATCTCTGTTCCTAAGTGAGTTCACTGCTTGGCAATCTCCCAGATGAAAAGGTACTGTGCACTATCAATTATACTGATGAAGCAATAGAGAAAAAGAGACCAAGAACACAGAGAAAGCAGTGGATTATTTGTACCTTATAAATCTGGACGTATTCCTCAATACTGAAGTCTCTAAATTGTTTCCAAAGTGACAATGTCTCCTCATCATGTTCCTCCAGTTTTCTAAAGAAATCCTTCGCCAGTTTTTTTGTGTTTTCATCTTCTGCTGCTTTGTTAATCTGCACATACACCTAAAATATAACACTGACAATGTTGAAATAGTATAATCCTCCCCTCCAATAAAATAAAGTTCTACAAGAATAATACAAATACATTTAAAGATGACATTTGTAACATCAAAGTTCTAAAGACATGTTAAAGAAACACATTTCCCATTTAAAGAAAGAATGAATAGCCTAAAGTCCAATAGGAAAATGTGCAGCTTATCTTGAAAGAAGACTAATGCTGTAATTCCTTACTGCTGCTGCTATGATCCTCTTCATAACCTTGAAACTGCTGCAGCAGCAAAATGTGGAAGAACTCATTTATGTGTGCAAACGAAACCATCACGGACATTTAAACCACAGACTTTTCTTTGGAGAACCACAAAGATGATACTTAAAACAACTACACTGCCTAAAAATGAGATAGGAACTGAAATAGTAAAATCCCTGATAGACTCAGTACTTTACAAGCTCAAAAAGAAAACCCCAACCCATTTATGATGAAAAAAAAGTTAATGCTGTTTAACTTTTTTTGTAGGAGTTTTGATCCTCAAATCATTACAACCTCGATAAAAAATAAGTAATTGTAAAAACTCCATTCCTGTAATGTTCAATGAGTGTGCCAACAATGCAAACCTTGCTTCAACGGGTTCCACTTTTCTAAAGCAAAACTCACTTTTCCCCTTCAAGTCTGAAGATTTTTGGAGATTTTTAACTGCTGACACGCTTCAAAGTTTATTGTTTGCTTAGTTCTACTATGAAAAATAAATTTAAAGTAGAGGGAAAATTCAACCTGTTCCAAGAATAACGCTCGTCCTCTCCCACCAGTAGTTTCACACATTCTAGTGTCCACCTATGCCCAATCTTTTATGTTATATGGCAAAAAAAAATGCAAAAAGTATATTTGCATTTGCCTCTTCACCAAAATGGAAGGTGCAAAGATGTTTGGAAAGGTACATTCGTATATACATTTATTTATATAGAAACTGTGCTATGGAAATGTTCTTTTTAAATGAACTATAGGAAAGATTAATTTCATACAACAGCAGAAAAAACACCACTTTGAAACACATCTCAGTTTTTGATATAACTAGGGATACAGCTGAACAAACACTTGGGAATTGGGAATAATTGAGAAATCAATTTGGTCTTAAACGACTACTGTTTTAGAACCTCTTGCATCTTGACTGAATACCGCTCTCTACATTTGAAGGTAATAAAGCCTACACACTGCTGCAATTTTAAAGCTTTAGTGCAAAATTCAAGTATTTAAAATTTAAATTCTAAGAATGGACTTAAATTATAAATAAAGTAATACACAGCATGCACAACCACAAAATATGACTACTTTTTTTCTCTTTTAATCAGTCCTACAGCTCTAAAACACCTCCATTTTGAGAATCTATCAATTCAATTCAGCAGGGTTCAGGGATGAAGGAATAAGAACAAAATTTACCTATGTCAAAGAAGCTGGCAAGCTCAGAAGGAGCTATTCTGCCACATAAACAATCTGACTGACATGCATTCAGCTGTTGACTATTCAAATGTTCAAACACAGTTTGCTCCTTCGCCAGTAAACAGATTTATGCAGAACAGTCATCCTGCAACACGCTGTCTGAACACCACTGGCCATAGTTCCCATATCCAGCTCACAGGGTGAAGCACAGCTCAGCTTAGTAATGAGAGAACATCTGACAGTGCCACACAAGAACCCTGACAAAGCCTCATTAACATGTGAGATCTTCCTTTTAGAGGATGAGGACTTGAACATCAGCCACTCAGAAAATTTTGTCCACCTATCCATACAGTTATTGGATCTGTGCAGATAAGTATGTAAGTCCTTTATGTGTATTGTATATATGTTACATCCAGCATGGTTGTCACCCAAAGATCACTTATAAGTACCAAAGACTGACAAAATCTTTTTGGTTCACTGCACTATATGAAAACAAGGAAGTGATATAGGAACTGCTAAAGAGGAAGAAATAAGTACTAACTCAGATGGTATTAGGCATATTGGAATGGAGCAATCCAACAACCAAAACCATATTAATCCTGGAAAGACAAAGCTTGCTAAACTACCTCAATCTTCATTGCTAACTGGGAGAGTCCACTGAGCCAGGTTTGTCCCTGACACACAGAAATGCAATCGATAGCACTTGCACCATCTGTGGGCTTGGTGGGTAACTGAGAGGGCAACCTCCTGCAATAAAACAGCCTTCCCTACTGCTGCAAGGCATTTCCTGAATGGCTGTCAGCAGAAACTATACCTTCTAATGCTCCTAGCTCTTTCACACTCCTGGAAGGAAGAGCATTCTGCAGAGCTGAAGCAGCGTTCTGGGAAGTGACAGTCACTTCTCCTTAGCTATAAATGTTAAAGCTCCATATTAGACACAAAACACTTTCAAGATCCTTTTGCCCCATCATAGTGAATCGTGAAAATCAAATTCTAAAAACACTAGCAACAGGCATACATCTCACTTTTCACAACTTTGGTAACCAACAGCATCAGATCTCTACTGCCACAGCCCAGGCTTGCACTACTCCTTCAAGTATGGTCATTTAAATTCCACATGAGTCTCCTCGTGAACCTGCAGATACATTAAAATCACTTTTTGTACTAATTCTGTACAGAACTGACAGCTAAGTTAAATGGATTGTCCTCTGAAGTGTGTAGTTGGTCTTCTCTGAACTTACCTCAAACAGGTGTTGTAAAGGACTGGATTTTAGTTTTTCTTTGTTGCCAAAGGACTGGAAACCAACACCCAATAAGCCTTGAATAACAAATACAGAGTTAGGCAACAACGCAGAGTATGTTATGTTATTTTCATAAGCAAGTCTAGTTCTAGCACTGTAGCCAATAAAACAAATGCCCTACATTTTAAAACAATAATGTATGCTACAAAAATAAAGCATATGAAAAGCATAACCTATTATTCCACTGCATGAGAAAAACATCCCAAAAATATAATAGCTAGAAACTAGTAAAAAATACTATGTTGATTTTTCAATTCCTCATAATTAGAATTTGTGTTTCTGGACTTGTAGAGAAAATCAACTTTTACACAGTCATGACCTGCAAATGACAAGTCACATAGTGGAAACTGTCCAGCAACAGATCATGCTCAAAACTCTGTTTTGCTTTCTCCCTTAAGAGTATTATCATTTCAAGGACAATAGAAACAGGAACACAATGTGGTATTCCACATATCACTCATGCAATATTTTCAAAGGAACTTTTTGCTGCATGCTTAGAATACGCAGCTTTTTTCACATGTCCAATTTGGCTTCAGCTCTTCCCAAAAGCCACCTGAAAGGGCAAGAAATCCAAATCCCATTCTTTTTGTCTGAACAAAACACCACACTAACACCTTCAGTAACGTCTCTTAGATTATCTGACGCTAAATTCAAGGCCATCTTACTCCTCTGAGTTGACAAGGACCAGGAATAGGTATGCAGTTATCCTTTTGAAAAACCCTCTGCAACTAAACAAATAGCACTGTCTCAAGACTTCCCTCTAAGAAACACTGAGCGTATAGAAGCCATGGCAGACTCAAGGAAGAAAAACAGGTTAGGGTTTAGGAAATAAAATTAGTCTAATCCTACTGAAAGAAAGTTTAGCTAAGGACAGCTTGTTCTACAAACAATTGGAGTTTGATTTCCTAATGATCTCTCTTAGATATTAGTGTACCTAAATATTCCACTTTTCAATGCTGACTTCACAAACCAATCCCCAGCACAACTGCCAGTCTTTATTTAACCCAAACACATCCTTCCACACATTTTCTGTCTTCTCCGAACTACCTCCAGACCTTGGTACACTCACCAGTTATTGGCAAGATGCAGCATGTGTTGAGACCAGTTCTGACTTAGAGGTGCTGACTGGTTTGATGGCAGGCTAAACACAAAAGTTAACTCTCTCCCACAGGGCGTTACATTGTATTTCTATCCCTATTCAGCTGCCAACTGTCACAATTCCAAAGGAAATTAGTTTTCTTGGAGACATTTTTCCTTGTCAGATCTGGTTGAAGTTGGCCAATGGGTTCAAAATCTATTAGGAGCAGAGTGAAAGGAAGACAGATTGACAGACAGTGTGGCTGCATAAACACTGTTACCTTAAGAAACCTGTCCCAAAACTGCCTGAAGGTTGAGCACTTCTCTGCCACGTTTCAGCAAAATATGTTTTCAATCATCAAATTTTAAAGCCTCTGACAATAGCAGTTGTAAAAGAAATGCTGACAGACAGTTAATTACAGCACTGCTTCTGAGAAAGGACCACTATAACAATATTTCAATGCTGTAATTTTGTGAAGCATGACTATATTATTTGTTATAATACCTGTCATATATTTGAGCTAAGCCAGCCCAGATAAAGAGGGGATCACCTATTTTGGAAGAAACAGTTGGAACTACTAGGTCAGTTGTGTGCTGCTTAACAGGTACATGTGTAAATAACAGGCATTGTGATCTTTATACCTTCAGGAAACTTAGCACTAAAATACATAAAATTCCTTGTATTGAGAATTCAGAGTGCTATTTAGTATCTTCAAAGAAAGACAGAATGAGGTCAGCTGAGAAGCCTTTTAACCACATTGCATTTCATTGCTTCACTGTCATTGCCACATTGATTATACAATAGCATAGTGATAAAATTATGTTTAAGGGTCAAAAAGGAATGAAATATGCAATAATGAAACTGACTGAATTTTTGGTGAACTCATTCCGCATTCAATTCCTATAAACAAATTCTAAGTGAGGCAAAGCTCTGCTATAAGCTACTCTTTCATCAGAAACAGGATCAGGGAAGACAAGCTGCAGAGGAAATAATTTAACAAAGGAAAGAATATTCTATTACTGGTCTCAGTCATACGAACATTACACTACACTGTCTAAATGCCAGGAATTTAATCTGGAAGGATAATGGGTAAACTGAATATTTTTGTTACGTTATCTACAGTTAGGAATCTAAATACATAAATGGAGTGAAAGTAGAGTATTTAATAACCCAACTCTGTTCATAAAATTGATTCCTTGATGTCCCCATAAACAGCAGTACCATTGAAACTGGAGGGGGCAGAATAAAGGCTGGAATAAGCAAAAGTGACTGCTTAATGGACACTGCACTTTGTGTTTGCCATTCAAAAATAGTTTCCAAAGCTTATTACAAAAGAAGTGGGGGATTTTTATAGTTTTCAAATGTGTACCAGCCTTAAAGAATGAGCAAGTGAGGATGACTGCTTTTTTTTAAATGCCGAAAATATGTCAAAACAGCTTTTTTGAAGAAATTAGAAACAAAAAAGAGGACGATACAAATGAATTTAAAATGCAAGATTAACAGAAGTCAACCAAGTTGTGAATTCTATGGATGGGTCAGCTGCCATAAAAGAGGGATGGCTATAGATCCAGCAATTGGACTTAAATGATCTGTGGTCAGGGAATAAATATCAAGCTATGCAAGGCTGTACATGAGAGGATTTTTCAGTCCTCACTTATCTAATGGACATTTCAGAAGAGGTAGGGGTGTCTATGTGTGTGCATACATGATTGATAGTTTTCCACAACCTATTCACTTGCAGATTCTCCACCTATACACCTCTCTTGTGCTACATTTTAAGCAGAAGTTGAATATTTTGGGGAAAGTGTAGGGATATCTTTAAAGATACAAACTCCCTGGGCCTCAACCTGCCAAAATTTGGTTGTTGTGGAAATTAATTATGCTCTGTGAATAATGAACTACTTTCCAAAAGGAACAACAACAAAAAAAAAACACACACACAAAAAAACTCCACATAAAGAAAACACACAAACACACACAGACACAACCCAAATATAAAATACACATTGTTACAATTATTCTATTGTTGTGGCCTAGGCAAGTTAGCAAGCTTACTCTTCCACAAGTGTTACACATGCGAAGTCTGAATAAGGAAGACAGGATCACAGCAGACGTGCAACAGTTACGGTAACAGGTACACCTTTTGTCTGGAGGCAGCAACAGAAGTCTGCTCAGCCATGAGGACTCCAAAGGTGTAACAAGCATACTCAGAAAATAACCCCCAAACTACACACAAGTAATCTGAGAGAGGAGCTACTGAGGGACAGAGGAACTGTTGGGTAAATTTCCTCCTGTTATTTCTTGTACAGCAGTGCAGGTCATACTGCTGATGAGTCAGTCTGGATTGTTTTGTTCATATTTTAAGGAAATTAACTATATATTACATGCATGGAAACAGGATATCACTCTTTATGAGTGCAGAGTGGCCAGGAAAAACTGAAGCTGGACACCTAGACCATGTGATACAGTAGAAAAGGAGACAGAATAAACAAGTATTAAAACATACCAAACTGCATGCCCCAGTCACCAAGGTAATTTATTCTTACTACTTCATGTCCCAGTGCAAGTTTGAGATTTGCTATAAAATTCCCTGGTAAGGAAAAAAATAAGATATTACTATTCAGTTGTAGGTAGTTTCTCATGCCTACAAAGTTTCTGTTTTCTACAGAAACTTTTGAATACAGTTTGTATAATCTGTATTCAAAAGGAAGAGGAAAAGCAATCAGATGGATTACTCCATAGAATTTCCTAAAATACTTCACAACTAAAAACAATAGTAGGAGTAATAGTAAAAAGTGAGTTCCTTTCTGAGCGGAAAAAGAAATGTCATGCATTTGAAAAGTGCCATAAAGTATCTCACACATACACAGGTGTATGCGCATGCACAATCTGCAAAGTACGCAATCACAAAAAACACCTTTTAAAGTCTTCTTGTACTCTCACAAATATGTGTGTATACAAGTATGTATACATAATTCCATCAGAGTCAGGCAACCTCATACCAGGAGGTTAGGCAAGCACTCAAGATTCATAAACTCCTGTTAACTGTGATGTCAAATAGAGAACATCGAGTCCTGAATCTCTGTACACTGTTGGGGCAGTTCTGAGCTCTGCACTTAACGTGCTACACCCCAAACTTATCATATCACATAAGGACATCTTAGTTCTAACCATTGTTACAATAAAAGCCCCTCATCTCTCTCCTGAGCTTAGCAACAGCCATGGAATTCCAAAGAAGAAATACCCATATCCCTTCTTCCATTTTCCTGTGTTTCAAGGGTGTCTTTTAATTACAATACGGATGTTAAGGATGCAGAAAACTTTCTCTTCTTCTGTTGTTATAACACTGTATTACACAGCTTGCAATTACTCTCAATCACATTCTCTGTAGTTAATCATTCTCTGTAGTTAATTCATTCTCTTACCACGGAACAAACACTGATCTACAGAACTGTTTTTCAAAGTGGGGTTTTTTCCTGTAACAAAGGGTCAAGAACTAGAACACAAAGAGTAATCGCACTCAACTATCACTCCATGAAGAGGCACAATTATCAACTTTATGTAATTAATAATTATACATGATACTTTAAGTACTTCATGACTAACACAATATTAGATGCACAGATGCCGTAGGATCTTCTACTAATAACCTACTAGTTTTTATTGTGAGAGAGGGAAATGAGGGAGCAATAATGTTTTCCATGTGTCACTAGAGTACTGCACAATAAACTTATTAATTATACCATTAGAAATTACAGCAACTGTGCCAGTAATACTGCCATAAAGTAATTAAAAGTAAGCTTTTTCCAAGACAGACACCAAGACATAACTATCTGACTGCTCTGCAGTCCAGTGCAAATTAGGAATTTAAAATTCAAAGGACTCATGACACCTCAATGAAAACTGAATTGGATGTCTTTGTAGAGCAATTTAAAACTACTTAATTTAATATTCACAGTCATAAAACTACATTACATGTGACTTAAATCTGCCAGCAACACACCACTTTCTTCTCTTCACTGCATAATAAGCAAAAGGTTTTTAATTAGCAAGTTGAGCCTCACGTGGCCCCTCCACCAGAGGAGTGAAAGGTTAGCAGTGCTCCCCTGTCAAGTGAAACAGGAAGACAAAGAAGCCCTTTTGGAAGGCAGTTAAATGCACACTTACCTACTATTGTGGAACGCAAATGTCCTATGTGAAACCTTTTGGCAATATTAGGGGAGCTGTAACAAATTTTCACAAATAATGTTTGTTCAATGGACAAGACTACCAGATCACCAAGTCAAAATAATTGAACTCATGCATCTAGCAGAAGAGCTGAAATAAAACCACCATTTTCAATTTTTTCTTAAGATTCCCTGATTAGCTTCTGTTCTAGACAGCAAATTTTCCTATCCAACCAACCTTTCGTCCAATATCAGTTAACAACTAGTGTTGTAGGGAAAAAAGAAACCACAAAACACCCCAAAACCAACAGCAACAAAAAATCCAAAACAACCAACCCCCAACTATACTAGTGACAAAGAACTGAAAATATCTTCTCACTATTTACATGTTTCGGACATATGGATCATTCTCTTCACACCTTTATTAGAGATAAATCTGATACCAGGACTGGAGATCTTGTGTACAAGAATCAGTAACTGAAATCACATCTTCTCCAACGATGCCCCACTCATAAAACCCCAAATCAAACAAGAACACAACCCTGTACCCACAACTGTTTGTTCTGATAACAAAATGGAAGTTCAGTTATGAAAATTCACCCTTCAAATTAAAGCCAAAGGTTTGCTTTCAATGACTATAGAAGCCTGCAGAGGGAATATAAGTGAACAAAAATACTTATCCATAAAAAGATCTGAGTCAGCCACTTTTCATTCCACAAGCAAGTGACTGTAAACAAAATTGCACTGGATAGAAATTTTGAGGCTAGTAATAGAGAAGATTTAGCAGGATAAATGCCTGTCTGCTTTAATAAGTCAGGGAGAAAGGTATTAAGGTGACAAAAGAAATAGATTAGTGGCTGAAAATTCAGATCATGTTTCTTGATAACAAAATAAAAGAAGCTTACTTAAAAACTGAATGCTACTATGCACTAAATGAGAATATTCTTAGTGGAGGGCAGTGTGAGGCATAAATCCCTTAAATATCAAAAATATATTCTGGTAAAAAGCCTCAATTCCCTAAATATAACTTATATTCTACTTGGCAAATTAACATTAATTAGAGTATTAAATACAGCTGAATACTGTAAAAATACGATTTAACATCACAGGCATCATACATTACAGCAGTGAATATCAACCAGCAAATATCAATTAGCAGACAAGCCAATTCTCTCAAAGGACTCCTCACATGTGCTTACCTGAACTCAATCACTGCCTTTTGTCTAGGCACTGCAGAGAAAATTTCACTTTTTACTCCATACTCTGAGCCATCTTTGAACACCTGCTGCAACACAGCCTAAAGCACAAGGAAGATTAAAAAAAAATACAAAAGAAAGTTTCAACAACAGAAAGCGTCATCAGGAAAACTGTTTACCGGCCACACAAGAGATTGATCCACATTCTTTATCCACATTAGCAATCAGATGGGTGGTCTGCCAAGCAAACAAGGTCTCATATGCAGAAGAAAATGCCATTAGCTTTTGAAAACTGTATCTGACCAACTAAAAAAGTCAGAGAAAGTGTAGGCAGAGTTTTGGTGAAAATCAAGGCTGAATTTTGTAAAAACTTTCTATTTTCTGCTTCTTTAGTGCCAAGGAAAGCCAACTATTCAATCCTCATGTATCAAAACACCCCTTCTTCTTTTCCCCCACCTGCAAGTCTGTAATGCCACTATGAATGGTCTGCACAAAAATATGCCTGCTTTGCAAGCATGGAGCCTGTGTGTAACACCTTAAAATATTTCCTCAACACAGTTTGTGGGAAGAGGAATCCTATGCTGACTACACTATCAGTAATGTGCTCATACAGCAAAGTCAGTCCCTGTAAATACCCTACATATTTCACTTTGTCACACAGGCCAATACATTACAAACCCAATATATTGTACTGGTTTTCTGTGGCCATGTTTTGGTAGCAGCAGGGCTACAGGGGTGGCTTCTGTTGGAAGCTTCCAGAAGCTTCCTCCATGTCCTGAACAGTGAATGCCAGCCAGCTCCAGGACGGGACCCGCTGCTGGCCAAGGCCGAGCCAATCGGGAATGACAGTAAAGCCTCTGTGATAACTTATTTAAGAAGGAAGAAAAAAGTTATTGCACAGATGTAATTCCAGCCAGGGAAGAGCAGAGGGAGAACATGTGAGCAACAACACAGACACCAAGGTCAGTGCAGAAGGAGGAGGAGGAGGTGCTCCAGGAGCCAGAGCTGAAGTTCATCTGCAGCCCATGGTGGAGCAGCTGTGCCCCTGCAGCCCATGGAGGACCATTGGGGTGCAGAGACTCACCTGCAGCTCACAGAGGAGTCCATGCCAGAGCAGGTAGATGCCTGTGGGAGGCTGTGACTCCGTGGGAGGCCTGTGTTGGAACAGGGTCCTGACAGGGACCTGCTAACTCATGGAGAGAGGAGGCCACGCTGGAGCAAGTTTTCCTGGTAGGACTTGTGGCCCTTTGGGGGACCCACGTTGGAGCACCTTGTTCCTGAAGGACTGCACCCCATGGAAGAGTGACCCATGGGGCAGCAGTTTCATGAAGAACTGTTGCCCGAGAGATGGACTCACGCCAGAGAGGTCCATGAAGGACTGTTTCCCATGGGAGGGACCCCACAGGAGCAGGAGGAGGACTCCTCTCCCTGAGCAGTGGCAGAAACAACAACTGACCGTAACCCCGTTCCCTGTCTCCCTGCACTGGGAAGGAGGAGGGATTGGGGGAAGGTGTTTTTAAGATTTGTTTACTTCTCATTCTCCTGATATGATTCTGTTAGCAATAGATTTAGGGTTTTTTTGACTCTGTTCTGCCTGTGACAGTGATCAGTAAGTGATCTCTCTCCCAATCCTTATCTTAACTCATGAATCCTTCATTATATCATTATAATTTCTCTCTCCTTTGTCCAGTTGCAGAAGGGAGTGAGAGAGAGGCTTTAGTGAGTATCTGGCATCCAGCCAGGGTCAATCCACTACATATATGAAGCTGTATGCATTGGCCAAGCTTCCTGAAGACAACAGGAGGCTTTAAGAAAGCGAACCAAAGTGGAAATCTCATTTCATTCAGTGGAAACTTTCCTTCCCCCCCCCTTAAAAAATCACTTTAAAATTTTTCTGCAATAGATAATGAATAATTTTTTTTTTAAAGGAAAAGCATCTGTAGAAAACATTTTTATTCTGTTCTTACTGTGACACCCAAGAAGGCACACGTTAAGCTAGACACACACAAAATTTACTCATAGACCTATTCTCTTTATCAGCAAAAGTTACAGCTAGTCTTTCCTCTCTCCTCAGTGACATAATGCAAAATTACATGTCCTAATTCCACATATGTTTTCCAGCAAAACTCTATTAAGCCAGACACAGTTTTGCTTGAACCATTAAACTGACTAGAATTGCTACAGATAAAGCACCTCGTGAAATCCTACCCATAAATAAAATTTAGCTCAAGCTACTCTTTCAGTGCTATGTACTTATCAAGATGGATTGACTATAAATAGCTAATGAAAAATTAAAGGGATAAAGCAACTGATTGATAGGTATGCCTATGCAAAACACGACAAAAAAGGATCTTTTTATTCAGGAAAAGAGGACTGCAAGCCTAAGTGGAAGTCCTGATGGGAAAAGGGCTTCACCAGTATTAGGTAAGACCTGATTTCTTGCCCCTAATTCACATGTAGTTATTTTTCTCAGACCACAATATCATTTTCCACAAGAATTGTTAATCCTATAGATTACGGCCATGAACAACAACACAACATTAGTTGTTAGCTGAACAAGTTAGTTGAACTGGTTTAGCAATGCTTTCATTCAGTCCCCAGTCTAACAGTACCAGTCATCCACATATCTTTATGAAGCTCTTCAAAATAATCCAGAGTACAACTGTCACACTACTCTTACAGCCTGAGCTATGAGGAGAGGCTGAGGGAGCTGGGGTTGTTTAGTCTGGAGAAGAGAAGGCTTAGAGGCGACCTCATCACTCTCTTCAACTACCTGAAGGGAGGTTATGGCCAGGCAGGGGTTGGTCTCTTCTGCCAGGCAACCAACAATAGGACAAGGGGACATGGGCTCAAGCTCTGCCAGGGGAGGTTTAGGTTAGATGTTAGGAAGAAATTCTTTACAGAGAGGGTTATCAGGCATTGGAATGGCCTACCGAGAGAGGTGGTGGATTCACCATCCCTGGAGGTTTTTAAAAAGAGACTGGACGTGGCCCTTAGTGCCATGATATAGTAATTGGAGATGGTTCAGGGGTTGGACTTGATGATCTTGGAGGTCTTTTCCAACCCAATCTATTCTATGATTCTATATCTTCCTTTCGCTACTGGTTTTAAATATTTTTGTTTTATTTTAGCAATTTTGAGCCAAACTCCCATGCCTCTATTTCCAATCAGATCCAGCTGGTTTAACTTACTGCGTATAGATGAAAAAAAAAAAACTAAAGAATTTCCTGGACCATTGGTTATAAAAAGCATCCAGTAACAACCCTTATGTTCACTAGCAAATTTTCTTCCTCTTCCATGACATGAAAAATTTCTTTGGAAGTGCCTTTGCCTTATTCCAGACTTGAGGCCACTTATCCTCAAGAACTGTGGCTTCTTTAATCAGCCAACACTAATATCCATTGGCTCGGTTATAAGCATTAGGTATGTACCTTCAGTCAGAATGTCGAGGAATACATCTTCCTTCGTTTTCCTAATTTTTTTTTAGTGAAGTGTAATAATAGATCTGCTATCAAATATTTTTATTTGAGGTAAAAAGAAGTCTCTTTACATGCCAGATCAAAACTTTTGTGTTGTAAACTGTAGAAACTCAAAGATATAACCAAGTAACCAAGCCTGCATTTTAAAGCAGAGAGAGGGGAAAAAAAGAGGAGTTATGGTTATCAGTGAACAGTAGATACCTTGTTTCCTCATAAGGATAAACTTTCTGACCCTCATTCCAAACTCTAGGCCTACATAACAAATCGGCAACAGAGATCTTCGAAGAGAACTTATGAAAGACAGTTTTACAAAAAAAATACCTTTTCAAGACAACAGTAGGTATTCTATAGTTTTATACTGAAGAATTTATTTTTACCTTAAAGCACCTGAAAGATACTACTCACCTTTGCTAATAATTCCCTGTTTATTGTAAAGTTCACTGTTCCTGGACCAGCGCTGATTTCACTCACTACAGCATCACATTTTAGCTAAAAGAACAAAATAAAACAGAAACTCTACCTGAAAACAGGTAAACTGGAAAACTGTAATTCAATCCACTATAAATATTGATTTAGTCCACTGTAAACATTAAATGTTATTTGCTAGTTTGAAGCAATCAGAAATGGATCATTTTCATCAATCCTGCTGGAAAAGGAATGATTTTATTATTTCCCATCCATGCTTAATAGGTCTGAATACAACTCGGCTTGAAGTGTCACACGTATGTTCTATTTCAGCTCCTGCCTGTGCACGGTCTGTGTTTTCTTTTGACTGGGAGCAGTAGTTGAACTCTTGGTACAGACAAAAGCTGAGATACATTTGACAACTTACACAGTACCTGACAGCACTTAACAAAAACAACAAAAAAAAGTTTAGTGACAACAGGCTGCAGTGCCCAGTGACACAAAATACACCCTAAGACTGGCTCAGTTGGTTAGAGCATGGTGCTGATAACAACAGGGTCGTGGGTTCAATCCCCATATGGACCATTCACTTAAGAGCTGGACTGGATAATTCTTGTGAGTCCCTCCCAACTCGGAATATTCTGTGATTCTGTATAAAATAAAGATGTTAAAAGGGCAATTTATTAAAAATTTTAATTACAACTATCCATGTTTTGAAAATTCTGAACCCATAAGGCATATCTGGGCAAACAACACCTAATGTCAACACAAATTTGGGCCTCTTCATGGGCTGAGAGTTTTGGATCTCAACCTCTCAGGTTTGAGAGCTTCTTATTAAACTAGCTTTCATAGCCAAGAAATTGTCAAAAAAAAAAAAAAAGAAAAAGAGGGATGAAAAGCATATAAAGAAATGACACAAACCTTATCACTTGGTTAAAATCTTTGAGAGGCAAGCTATACATTTCTACTGAAGCTCATCAGCATGAAGAGGAAATTGTACCCCCATGCTAGGTCTCCAGCTTAGACACTGACCTAACCAGGAGAAATGACAGCTAGCCTTGAAGTTCTTTAACCTTCACAAGCTCTGATAATAACAAATACCAGTGTTAATTCACAAGCTACATAAAAAAATCCCCAAACATTTACTGTTTTGATGCTGAATTTCCCATTTTACTGTTTTACAGAAGGTCCTTTCTACTTATGGGGCACAGAAAAAACAGAAATATACACCGGACTTTCTCCATAACATTTGTTCTGATAAATGTTTTCTACATTTGTCATTTGTCATGTCAGTAGTTTTCATCTCTTTAACATGAGAGCTGATTTGGCCCCTCCATAGCTTTAACAACCTCTCCTCCAACTGCCCTGTGGTTCTTTAGTAACCAGATGTCCCCATGCCCAAGGCTTGGACCAAAATGCCACTGTGCTGTACAAAGGCACAGAAACCCCCAGCACAATGTCCCCTGCACAAAGAACTAAGAGCACAAAAACAAAACAAGAATTAGCCAGCCAGATGAAATCAAAAGCCCATGGAAACAAGACCCTTTCGACACACAATTCTCAGCACCCAGAGCACATTATGTTTCATTTAGTACCACGCTGCTGTATTACTTAGACTATTTTAGTCAACGGGAAAAATTTCCACCTCTTCTGCCTAACCTAAATATCTTTATTTCAAACATTGTGACCTATTTCCTCAGAAGTGACTAAGAGCATACTGCTGAATATTAAGGCACTCCAACAACTGTTTGTCATGACAAAAACTGGTAACTGCCTGCATTTTTCTGATAGTTTTAGATACATAGTCTTACTTTGTTAGTTTATACACTGCTCACTTCTTTGTAGAAGATATGACCAATTTAAACAAATTATACTAAATGCATCTCCTTTATTCATCACTCAACAAAAAACATTCCTAAGAGATTATGGATTCTTTTCTAACTGGCATGGTCTATGCAATTTGGGAGCTTACACTGATGGTCTGTTCTTTACTGTTACAATTGCTCCTCCATATAAAGCTTTAGGGCTAAATGTCCCAGGTTTATTTAATAAGCCACAAACAATAAAGGAGGGAGGCAATTTTCAGCTTCCTAAACACTGGGAATAGCAGCTGTTTTTAAAATGAAAGACTGGACACAGGATAAAAAACTTGTTCCCACGACAATGTAGTCATTGAAACAGATTACAAAGGAGGTTGTCAGATCTTTAGAGGCTTTCAACACCTGATTTAATTTTAAAAGTCCTCAGCAACCTCATCCAAATATCTTCAACAACCTGCACTGGGGAGGAGATGGGAACAGATAACTTCCTGAGGTCCTTTCCCACCTCAATTATTTTATGGGTCCAGAAAATCTTTAAGCTGCTTCAGAACTTTTGGTTGTACATCTGTGTACCATCAGTTCTTTCACCTGAGTCAGGATACTTATCTTGTTAAAGAAACAGGTCCAAGTTATGGACATCTTCAACATCTCAGCAGAGAAAAATGAGATGAAAAATAGTATAGCTTCTCAATAGTATTACAACTGGGTTTATTTCTCCTTTTTAACTTCTGATTGTAGAGCAATCCCACTGATTCCTTTTCACACTTGCTGGCAATTTCCTAGTTTATACTCCTCTGCATTGACATCAGCAACACAGCTTTAGATTGTGAATTTTTTTTTTGGCACGAATGATCTCTAAAACCTTAGCATCACCCTTCCGATTGCCACTTTTTTTTCAACTTTAGGCATGCCAGCTTCTCCAGATTTTTATTTCCTTCCATCCTTCAACATTTGTGTCACTTCTGTAGACCTTGTTTTTCAGGCTTCTTCTTTTTTTATGCTGCAGTTAGTCTTAATATCTCAATTACTAAGATTTACCAAACTAGCACCCCCGAAAAAAATTCCTGTTCTAAGAAAACTCAATTTCAAGCAGCTAGGGATTTGAAAGTTTGGCCTGTTTGTCTCAAAGGCTAAATTTACCCATTGTTTTTCTAGTGCTGGATTTTGCACCTTTAGTTTTCCAAGCTCCATTTCTTCCTCAAATGCTGGCAACAGTACAGACCATGGCACACCCTTTAGATACCCACCTAACTCCACCACCAGTATTATTTCTCTCAAACTATTTGAAACCAACAATTTCAAGAGAACCTCAAACTGCTTCTCCAATTCCCTGTGAAGATTCTGTGTACAATTACAAGTAGTCATCAAACTAGTCCGACCCAGATAGATGCTTGGAAAAAGAACACTTTTTACCTTATGATGCCTCTTACAGCTCTAGTCTGTAAGTTTCTTATTGCATAAATATGTGATGAATGCATTAGCATACCCTTTCAGCCAGCTTCTGAGCTTGAAGATTCAAGTCTTGTGCTAAGCAATCACTAGAACTGTTTTCTATTACAGAAGCAATGGAGAGCTGGAAATCAGCAACATGCCTGAAAAAAAGCACATATGAAAATCAGGAAAAAAACCCTGTTGCAATGCTGGGGAGATCCAGAAGATCCAAGCTGACTTCTGCATATGACAGCTCTAGTTGCCAAGCCTAACCCAGACACATATATCTGAAAGTTTACTATGTTTAGAAAGCTGCAATAGAAGACCAAATATTACCTTTGCTCTAATACAATAAAAAAATAGATATGGTAAGAACACTGTTTCAGAATAAACAAAAACTATGCTTATGAGTGAGTGTAATTTACTTGCTAACATCATTACCACTCTTGAGCAGGACACTGAAAAAAAATCCCATTATAACTTCACATTGGTTCTAAGCAGTTTCACATTCAGATCATTAATGCTGAAGCATTTGCCATTCAAGCACTGCCCGTAATTCGTACAGGTTTTTAAAAAATTATTTTGAGCTTGCTTGAAAAAATACAGTGATTTGATTAGACTGAACTATCTTCTTACAATTAAATTGGTACATAAGGTTTGGGTTTTTTTCTGTATTTCTTTTTCCCTAGAGTTAAGCTCTTGCAATAATAAGCATGACATAAAATAATAAAACATGACATAGCATTGTAAGATAAAATGTAAACAACTACCGTTTTTTGGAGACGGGAACGGCAGATATGGACTTTATTAAATTTTCTGGTGGCAGATCCAAAACCTTCGAAAGCTAAATTGGAAATAAAGAACGACTTGGCTTAAGAAGAAAAAAACCACGACAAACACAAACAAACCAAAAAACCCTCGAACAAACAAAAAAACCCAACCAAACAAAAAAAACCCAAGGAAAAATACTGCTTCCTGTTTAAATACCTATAGAGGACACATTGTTTGTATTTGAAAGCAAATTTAAACCCAGGTGAAACAGGAAAGACTTATTAAATATTATGAACAATAGAATAAAATATGCAATACAAACTCAAGAAATGTTAAAGGAGCCTTAGAAAGGCAAAACACCACAGAGGGTTGGGGGTTTTTTTCCCCACAAAGGATCTCGTCAGACCCTCCCGTGCCATTACCGACCGAAGTAATCATGGAGTGGCAGAATGGTTTGGGTTGGAAGTGACCTTTAAGACCTTAAAGTTCCAACTCCCTGTCACGAGCAGGGGCACCTTCCCCTAGACCAGGTTGCTCAGGGCCCCATCCAACTTGGCCTTGAACCCTTCCAGGGATGGTCGCTACACCTCACTCAGTTTATCCCAATCCCAGCTCGGCTGTGGGTCGCGCCCACTGCGAGACGCCCGGGCAGTGTGGGGGGACTCGTAGTGAGGGTGCGAAGGGGATGTGTCGGTCGCGGCGCACTGCCCCTCCGAGCCGGGGGAAGGAGCGGCGCGTACCTGGGCGGCGATGCTCCTGCGCCAAGACCCCGCCGCCATGGCCGCGCCGCCCGGCGGAACCTCCGCGGCCGCCCCGCCCCCCCGCGCCGCTCCTTCCGCCCGCCCAGGGGGCGGCCCGGGCCGTACCACCCTCGCGTTACGGGGGGAGGCGGAGGGGACGCGCCGGGAGCGCGCGTGCGCCAAAGTCCCGAGGCGTCCTTTTTCCTCCTCCTTCTCCTCCTCCTCATGTCCGATAACGCCGGGGCGCGGGGCGACATGAGCACGTGCTCCGTATCCAAGGTGAGGCGTGGGAGAGAGGGCGGGGGTCTCCCCAGGGAGCAGCGGGGGTTGTGCGGCTGCTGGAGGAGCTGGACGAGCTGGACCTGCGGTATCGCCCGCCGCGCCCTGCGCCTGCTCCTCTTCCCGCCTCCTCCGTTCGCCGCTGTTTCCCGCGTCCCTTGTGCCCAGGTTCCCCGTTGCCCCATTCCGCTGCCCGTCCCTTCCCAAAGCTTTGGTGGCTTTCCGTGCGCCGGCTCCCTCCGGGCCCTGTTTTTGCCCAGGGCGCTTTCCGTCCTCACCGCATTCACACGGAATCACAGAATACTCTGAGGTGGAAGGGATCCACAAGGATCATCGAGCCCAGCTCTTAGTCCTGCCCAGAACATCCCCAGGAATCACACCATGATTGGTGACTGACACATGGTCATCCATCCATCCACCTGCTCCGCTCTCCCGTTGGCACAACAGAAACGCTTCGCTGGAGCGGAGCAGAGCGGAGCTGTAGCGCCTGTACGTTTTGTCAGCTGAAGTCTGTTGGCACTTCTTGCTTCCGCTTTCGAAGGCTCGTTGCTTCTGTCCCCAAAACTAATTCAATGCAGAAATAAAGATTAAAGTGCTGTCACCCACAGGTGATGTTAAATGTCTGTTATTGCCTTGGTATTTCCGAAGTGAAAGCTTTTATCTGGCCAGTAGTCAGGGCTGGCAGTAGGGACAGTGCATTCATCAGAGTGTTAATGCATAGCGAGACTTAAAATGTTATATTGAAACATCTGACATTTAGTCTCGTGCTTGATCATATAGTGAACAACAGCAGTGGTTTCACAGCATCTGTTTTATCATCGCAAGACTGCTGTTACATTGTTTTTCACTCAGTTGCGATGTGTAGCTGGATCCTTTGGTGTGGAAGTTGCTGTGCAGATTATTACTCTCAGGAGCGAAGGGAAGCGCTTCCAAATAAACTTATAACTTAATCCAAAACTGGTGGATTTCTCTTCAGAAAATGGCTGTTGCCTTTTAGTTCGGTAGTGAAATGTGTCGCTCCACTTTGCCTCCCAAGTCCTTTGTGTAGTACTTTGCAGTTTTATGTTCTGATCTCAGCTACATTCAGTGGTGTGGGGAAATCCAATGCTTGTAAAGCATTCAATAGTATTTGTGTTTAGTTTCATTAAGCATATATTTTTCTTTTATATAAGTGATTTACAGTTATTCTGGCCAATTCCATTTGTGCTCCTGTTGTGCATACAGCAGCATAAATAAATCCGTATGTTAAGTTTTTGCAGTGGAATCGTTCCGGAGTGTTTAGCACCTGTAGAATAACCATAACTTTTGTCCAGCTGGTTTTAAATGCTTCTTAATATATATGGTAAAATGGAAAGTATCTGAAGGCATCTCCAGTTTATAAGGCTGTTTTTCAGTGAAGGTCAATGTAATGTCTTACTTGTATAAGAAAGGAAATGTCTGAAGTCACGCAACAGAGTGGCGACTGTGATCAGAATTGAATATAACTCTGGTGTTTGATTTTCACTACATCATTCTTACACTAGTGGCTGAACTATCCTAGGTCACGTTCAGTAATCCTTGCTTGTATTAGCATCTCCATTGAGAAATATAGGATTGAATCAGTTTGTTTATTTTCAACACTTATGTGTTTCCTTCCCCCTAGCTGTAGCATAAGAACCTTACAGGGAGAGTTTTAAGATTTCTGATATATAGGAAATCATTATAACTCTACAAAAGAAATGAGCTTCTGTAGAGAGGGTGAGGGAAGAAATTTCCAATTTTCTAGAGGAAAATGAAAAAAATCTCCTGGAATTCAAAACTTAATACTTTGTGATGAAAGAGGTCTAACTGGGAAATGCCTTCTATCTGGAGGAATTCCTTGGAACAGGGGTTTTTATCTGAACCCTTTTGAAACCATTTGTCATTCTGCTTCTAACTATCTACTTCTTTGAGTTGGGATGCAGTTTTCCTCTAGCTTAGGCGTGTCATTTGCTTTTGTAACTTAGTAATACTCATTGCATTGTTCCGGATCACCTGTTCATCTCAGCCTCTTGCCTTTTGTTTTTGACTGAAACTGTGCTGATGTGTCCTCAGGGAATAATTACCTCTTAATTCCAAACCTGTTGGAGGTTTTGAGACTTTTAAAGAATATGCTGCTGTTATAGCTGATGGCTAAATTGCAGAATGTTGTGGAAAGATGTAAAAGTTCCTCACAAGTGTGCTGGGATACTGCTTTCACTAGTGTTACAGCTTGAAACAGGAATATATAGGGACAATATGTAACTTGATATTCTTAAGAGGCTGGCAATTCAGTTCAAATTATTGGTTTAATGGAGCACTGAAATTAAAGGATAATAAAGTGGCCTCAGGAGCCAGTTAAAATGATGCTCATATTGAAGTCTGTATTTTTTTTGCTATTCTCTAGGGCTGCTTTGTTTTTAAACCAAGTGCCAAGAAGAGAAAATTGTCTCAGAGTACAGGTTAGTGCATTTTTATATATGTTCCTGTGCTTGAGAAGGGTTAATCCTGGAAAGTTCATCACATCTAATTGAATTTGTATAATGAGTTCTATCATAGCTGCATGAGGTTTTCTGTTGCTTCTTGATTGCTGAAAACTCATTTCTTTGGAGGAACATAACCAAATTATTTGCTACTGTAAATGTGGTTTTTTTCATCTCCAGCAATCAAGACTGTATGGCTGTCATTGTCTTTGCACATTTTGTTACGAGAAAACTCCATACAATGCTGCCATAAATTGTTTACTAACTGATAAACAATGAGTCACTTTTAAGCTATGGGAGTCAGAAATTTATATCCCATCCATAAGTCTTATTTTCTGTGTAGTTTGCCTGAGTTTCTTGTAAAAGAAGAAAGAAAAACCACTTGTGAAGATCCCATGGCTTCTGTATTTGCTGCATACATTTTCTCTAGATGTGTATTTAGGTGTGTTGTCATTTGAGGAAGACTGAACAAGACTGACTCTTATTGGAGCCACAAATAATGCTTCTTGAATAATTGCTGATTGAGATTTGATTAGGAAACTTACAGTTCTTATTCCCAGGTTAAACTACTTTTAGCATCACCAGAGCTGTCAAAAGGTGTGACAATTTGTATGAAAAAGGTGGAGGGGAAATTAATAGGGCCAGATTTTTGTGGAAATCACCACAGGCTCTCATCCATTACCTACTGTAACATCTTCTTTAATATTAAACCCAAATTATTTTTACTGTGGAAGTTGTGACATCTGTAGCTCAGTGAATGAGAGACAGTGGAGTAGAATCCAATCTGTCATTGCAAGATAAATAAACCAACAACCAGAACCTGTGCACTTAAACCACGTTGAAATTTTGCCCCTTACTGGATATTACGTTTTCAGTTTTGCAGGCTTAGTAATATTTGGATAAACTACTAAACATGTTGTTCTAGTTAGCAAATGCTTTGAGGCAGGAAAATAAATTTGACTGAACTAAAAATGAGGCAGAGGTGAGCTAGTTTGGTTTCTCACAACATTTGGTTAGTGTTGTTCTAAAACAGTACTTTGATGTGCATCCATCCCATCTGGAAACCCAATCCTGTGAAGTTTCAGTTGTGAAACTTCTGTTATCAATAGTTGATAATACTGTTAAACTCCACAAAAGGCCTTCTGAGCATATTTGCACCTATAGTTTGAGTTTTGGTTGTGTAAAAAAGTATATTATGCCTTGGTATGTTACCAATAATGTGGTGGCTAGATCTTCTTCAGCTAAAAACCTAAGATGTGTAATCAGAGTGGGTTATGTATTTTAAATGATTTTTCTTAGGGATACAAATGAGGTGATAGTTCAGGGGAGACAATGAAAATGGAGGATTAGGGATGCTTCTTGTTCATCAATTATATTGCTGTTTTGGGTGATTTTAGTGTTTTGTGAGATTGTGCTCATCAACTGGTTCTTTTCTAGAGATCAAACCACTGCTGATAGTGAAGGAGGATTGAATATTTTATAGGTGAAAGAGACCTACAAAACTTTCTGAAGCAAGGAAAAGATTTTTTTTTAACTTTTGTTTAATTTTAATAATAAAGGCTGTTTGCTCTGATTTAGCTTTTAGCTCATATGAGACTGGAAGTCAGTTTTTTACTTTTTGCCTGCCTACTTGGATAATATATTCTGCTTGTTCCCTCACTTATTCTACCAGATACCAACAGTTAATTAATTGGTTAAGAGAAAAGTCATCTCCCCTGAATATATATGTATATTAAGAAGTTCGTTTCAGTTGTTTTATTCTCAAGAAAAAAAAAATGTTTTGTTTTCATAAGCTTATTTGTGCTTTCCTTTGCTTTCTGTGTTTCTAGCTCATGATTTCGGAAACAGAAAGGATGATTCAGAGGATACTGAGTTGCGGTTTGTTACTTGTCAGTCTTTATGGAATCAAATTAAGTCAGAAACAGAGGTGAGTCTTGTGCTTCGTACTAAAGCAGCGTTTTGCATTTATAACAGTGCTGCTTGCTTCTTTGTTTCTGGAGATCTTTTTTACATGTTTAAAAGGGCAGTTATTTAACGCAGAAATATTGACTGAGACTGAAATACTGGTCCAGAATATAAAATAGTAATAATAAATCCATTACTTACACATTACTTGTAACCATAGAACTGCATGTTTTTGATGCTTCAACCTGCTGCTTCTAAGCTTCTCTTCTTAGTAATTGTCCTTTTTACTAACTCCTGGCATGCTGCTGTTTTCTGCCTTCAATTCAGTTAATGCTTGCCAGCCCTCTGAGGATTTTAGGCTGATCTTGACCTCAGTGTTACAGAGTTCATACACAGCAGTCCAGGA